TTCGTAAAAAAAAAAAAAAAAATACATTATATTTATAACGCTGCACGGTTCCACGGTGACGCGGCGATTGCACGCCGGATGCAAAGATTCCCCGAGCGGCAGGTCGCAATAACATTTGAAATTACTGAAAAACGAATACAATNAAAAAAAAAAAAAAAAATACATTATATTTATAACGCTGTACCGTTGCACGGTGACGCGGCGAATGCACGCCGGATGCGAAGATTCCCCGAGCGGCAGGTCGCAATAACATTTGAAATTACTGAGAAACGAATACAATTATCGCTAGTGATTTCCATTCGGGGCACGCGACGGACGCGACGCGAACGCATAACAATACGCAAAACGGTATTGCGCGTACGACGATTTAATTTGATTTTTATCCGCAATGCGATTATACCGACCGAAATCGATAAAAAAAAAAAATACGAAAAAGGGAAACGGGCGGACGATCGCGATTTGCTCCGGGCGGCTTACTGCAGACCAAGAGAGACCCGGCGAGTGTTTTCGCGCCGCGCGAGTTTCGGTTGACGGGTTCGCGTGGCGGGATAGGCGTGGGAACTTGCCGATTTGTAGGACTGAAAAAAAAAAAATTAAAAAAAAAACCGTACTGCGTTCCGGTATTACGAGATATTCTGTTTCGTATATTGCAGCCTATATTATTCATTTGTTTTTTTTTTTCCGTTCGAAACGTATCCGTCCCCCGTCCCCCCGCCCAATAAGTATAGATTGGCCAAGGTCGTCGCAGCGATAACCGCAAAGCCGGTTAAAGCCGGGGGCTTCAATACGCGCGCCGCACATAATAAATATTGCGTACTTTGATGTTTGACTCGTATTCGATTATTGTTTATTTTATTATAATTTTTTTTTTTCTATCTAAACGCTGTTTTTTTTCCCCCCGGAGTGCGATTTTTTTCGAAACGCCGGCCGTTTCCGGCGGCACACTTTGCCGCTAAACGCTTTAAAACACATAATTACTCGGTGTATATTTTTGTTTTCTCGCGTTTCCGTTGTTTTCCCGTGTACGCAATCGATTTTTGTTTTTAACAATCGCAATTGATTATAGTTAAATGTGTTTTTCTTTACAAAACTGTATGATACACTAATTTTTCAAAAAAAAAAAAAAAATCGAAAACACGCGTTGTTACTATTAACCTGTACAACATAATAGAGCAACAGAATATTTCGCAGATAAACATTACCTACCGGATTTTGCGTAAAATGCATACCATCGGTATTTTTTACATTATATTACACGTCATGCAGTCGACGTGAGTCCATAAATCGTTATACTTGATTGATTAAATAACAACATTTTATATCGCATAGTTTCGCATGTTGCGACGTTATGGGTTCACGTTCTGCATGTTTTTGCACATTTTTTTTGCGCATGTACGGTCACTATAGCCAGAGGCGAGTAAAAAAAAAAAAACCAATAAAAGTACGCTCTGAAAAGGCGAACATATGGAACGCGCTTCGATAACTTATTTTTCCGATAGTTAACACACTATACATTAGTCGTATATTTTGCACATTACGAGATCAGATTATTCCTCTTTGTTTTTGCAACGTATTAAAAAATAAAACGCGTTCTTAGTAGTTTTTGGTTTACAGATTTGAATTAACAATACTATGCGATTTAAAACGCTAATGCTCGTGCACTAACAAAAATTTATAATAATTAATAATTTACACAACAAAATTACAAAACGCAATGAATTGAACGTACCTAATAAAAATTCAAAATTTTATCCCGCACGTTTCGTTACTATTCCCTTGTATATTTCGACGTTTATTTTTTTTCTATCGATTGTTTGCACGCGTTTTTAACAATTACAAGTGCGTGTAAATCGTACATAACTCAGGATCGCAATATTATCCTTTTCCGGAAAGGGGACGGCGTAAATCGTACACGGCACAATACTGCACAGTACACATCATAAACGGCGTGTGAGCTAATTCACAAGTTGTGTTTTAGCGCACGATGGCGGCGGCGAGTGACATATCGCGTTAAACAGAAACCTTATACCGTTGTCGGTTACGCGCGAAAAAACAAAAATTGCATTTAAATCCGGTCTTTAAATTTACAATAACACACTGTGCGCCCGTTCGTCGGCGTTAAACGACGACGGCTAAACAAAACCGCCGTGAGAGTCGTACGTCAACAATGAGATAACCGAAACTCATTCCGTCACCGAGCGTTTCCTACACTCGTACGTTATGACGTCACGTTTCCGCCGGTCGCAATATTATTATCGATATTATTTATATTACGTCAATTACGGCGAGACGTTTCCCCCGCTCCCGTGACATACCATTTTGTGTCGTGGTTTTTTTTTTTTTGTTTTTTATTCCGTGACGCCGCAAGCAACTGGACAGGGGCGAGTCGTGATGCAGTGCATCCGTCTTTCAGATATTCACGCATTACAACCATAACGGTACACCCTGCAGGCACACAAACAATAAAGAATGTATAGGCCATGTTGCCACATCACACGTTCCCGAGAACGCTGTCCTAAGATACCTTCTTTTTTTCCTTTTTTTTTTTTTTTTTTTATATTCCGCGACACTTACAAATGTGACCCGCATTACTGACTTGCAAATAACGCGACGATGGACCATTGCAGTATTAAAAACAAACAATTTTTTTGAAAACATATACAAGCAAAATAATAATTATAATATTATCACATCGGCGATGACGATAAAAATGTTTAACCGAACCGTAAAACCGCAGTAACCATTGTGTTACATAAGGCGGCTTACGTTGAAACTATAGGAACGACGTGTACGTTTTCGCTTATCTATGGCCGCAGGGCCCGGACATTGATAGGATAATTAACACGGCGATGATACGGGGGGGGGAGAGGATTTTTAATCGCTTTTTTATCGCCTTTTAATCGGCGCGAGTACGGCGAAAATACGATTTCTCGTCCGATCCAATACAAATCGAATCGGTGTAATAACTCGAACGATTTGCCTTGGCGTTGTTAATATCGTTGTCTACACACAAAACAGCGAGAGGTAGCACGCGTAGGTGCGGCTTAGTAAACGAAACGGGAGCGAATAGACCGAGACACGGTGGGAATTTCAGCGAAAACGGACGCGCACGGGCGGGAAGAGGGAAAAAGAGGGAAAGGCGAGTACACGTCGACACAGTGCACGCGTAACGCGCGGCGTAGTATTTTTTTTTTTTTTTAATTTTTTTTGTCGCTTTTTCGCGCGTTCGTTTCGACTCGGCCCTTCGACATTCGGATCGCCGCGGGGTGTTTAAACGGATGTTTATATTTGTTGTCGGGGGTTTTTTTTTTTTGTTTTTTTTTCTCTCCATCGGTTTATCGCTATGAAACGAAAGACGATCGCGGACGAACGGCCCCTCCCCGGTGCTGTGCGTGTAACACTGCGGTCGCGATAAGACGCACAAAAGGGACCGAACGGCACCGGGACAATGCGCCGCGGCACGGAGGACGACGGTTGCAGCGCGCCTAAACGACAAACGCGCATTTGCGTACACGTTGGTTGTGTTATAAGCGCGCAACAGCCGGAGAACCCGAACAACACGGACGAGCGGACGAAATGGCCCCGGCTGCCGCGGCAATCGTACCGCGCGGGCAGCGTGCGGGCCGACATTGTGACGAACGCGCGCGGGGTAGGAGCCCCGCCGGCCGCGCGCGCAATGGGCACGACGTCCGACGCCGCTGCACCGCGGCGTCGGACGTCGGTACGCGCGTTTTCACGGCCGTCTCTCGGCGCTATTCCCGCGCGCGTGTCATGTCCGGGCGCGCGCAACGTTGCGGGTTGCGGAACCGGCGCGCGAACGGCCGACCGCGCGTTTTCGCGCCGGTACCGGGCGAGTGTCGCGCACGCCCGACCCGTCCGCGCGAAACCGTCCGGTTCACGGGCGCGAACGGCGGCGGCGGCGGCGGCGTCGCGCGATTGTTGAGCGCGCGCGCGCGTCACAATGTTTCCTGTACCGGTTTTCGATAGTACGATAAAATTATGTTACGATATTTGCGCGCCGGCCGAAATCGAGAACGCCGAGGTGATGGGCCGCGGAAATATCGCGTTTTCGAAAACGTGACCGCCGTCTCGCCGCGAACGAGCCCCGGTCGAAAAACAGCCCCGTTGTCACTTTTCGGTGAAAATGAGTGGCGCGCTCATTTCCCGCGGCGGTGGGTAAACGGACGTATCTCAATAATCGTTGTCGCGGGATTCGAGACGACCGTCGGTTGTCGGAAAAATTACTATTCATTGCGACATCACAAAAGGCCCGAAATCGTTTTCCCAAATTGGTTTACAGCGACATCTGCCCTTTTGACCCGTGCCCCTGGAATTATATTGGCGTGTACCTAACCGTATACCAGGTTTATATATTCTATAAAATATTTAAGGAATTCCATTACGGAATCTTAAAATCGAATATGTCAATTTGTCTTTTTACCATAATTATTATGTCTGCTTGTCTTGTTAAATTGTAAGTTTATCAAAAAAAAAAAAAAGTTCGGAATATGAATTTTAGATTATGTTGTTTTCTAAAAAAAAAGTTCATTACACATTTTCAACAAATATATTTATTTTACGACCTGTTAAAAAATAAAAAAATGAATGCTCTCTTGAAAAATCGACGTATATCAATCTTTGAAACTCTTGTGGCACGGGTTATAATTATTTCAGACAAACCATTGAAAATCAATTTTCAGAATTAATTACTGAGCCCCTTCTACGGCCCTGAATGAAGTTTTAAAGGATCATATGAAGGTTAAAAACAAATTGTTTGTTTATAATAATTATTATAATTTTCAAATATTTCTTTATTTATATCAAATGCGTTTACAACTTTTTTTTTATACATAGGTATTTACAAATATTTAACCAGAAAAAAAATAAAAAAAAAAAAAAAAAAGGAACTTATTAATAATGTAAATTAACATTTATTTATGTGGGTACTTTCAATGAAATAATTTGATAAATAATCGTTGTTTACTGGTTGTATTCGTCAATCAATCAAGAATCTCTTGTTTAATGTTTTTTTCTTCAACGAGATCATAATAATTTTCAAATTTTATAGATGTATTTTGTTTATCGACAAGTATATTTTTATTCAAATGTAGTTGATCGTTTGGTTGATAAATCGGACATGTCGATTCAGAATGTGATGAAACATTAGAGGGAGGTTTGATTTGATGTGTCGGATCAGATTGTTCAGTAGATGAGGCATTTGAATGAGTAGAGAAAGAGTTTGCATTACATAGTTTGTTGATGTACACACCTTGGATCTCATACAAAAATTCCTCCCGTTCACGTTCTGGGAGTTTCCTTATTTTTTTCGCCAATAGTTTACCAAGCAGATCATATTCTTCATCATCTTCTTTATCACTACCTCTTTTCGTAGTTACATTCTTTATCATGTTAAACTCTTCCTTCATTTGGTTCACTACTTTTTGAAGCTCAGGAGGGGTAAAACGACGTTTATTCGTTGGATTTGGCCGTGAAGGCGTTTGGTTTGGTTGTTCAGGAACTATTGTATTCGTGCTCTCTGTTGTATTCTCTGTTTTCACACTTTGATTTTGTTCGTTAATTGCAACAGACTAAACAAAAAAAAAAAATAATATTTCTATACTTTTTTGTTTTTTTTTTTTACAAATACAGTCTACAAAAAAAAGAATGGTTAAATATAGAAAAAGGATTTAGTGGAACCTTTCCATTTGCCATTGGAGCAATGGTTGGAAAGCGCATTGTAATACAATGCTCACACAGGATCAGAGTATTTCAATTACAAAAGATCTTTCAGCATTGTCTTTTTAGCCGTAGTAGACTGTAATAAGGTACCAATTTATTTTCGTTGACATCGGAAACCCAGGAAGGATTAGTGTATTATAGAAAATAAATTTAATTTTCCAACACCATGCTCTTTGCCTGCGGGATCAGACGAGCCCTTGCCTTATGTTTTTTATGTGACGGTGCTTTTGCGCTGAGCACGCACATTATGAAGCATTATCCGGGAAATCATGAATTTGGGAACTGAGAAATGCTTATTTAACGAACAATTATCTAGTTCACGTGTGTTAGTCGAAAACACTTTTGGGATATTGGCATCGAAATTCCGAATAATTAGAAAACCGATTACATTAAACAAAGAAAAAGTAACACTTTTGACCATGGCATGCATATTACTACACAATTTTATCAGAAAAAGTAATTCCAACCATATTTATGCTCACCGGAGACATTTGTGCGTAAAATAACAACGGCACTTTAATTCAAGAGGGATAGTGGAGAAGGACGTACAGGATTATAGCACAATTAGGCCTTTGAAAGTGGTATCTCGTCGACCGACGACGAACGCTATTAAGATTAGAAAAGCATTTATCGCATACGTAAACAATAATATCTAATACATCTATTACAATATAAAGAAATATATTGAATCATTAAAAAGTTATTGATTATATTATATTAAATAATATATGTATTTAAATTAGAAATATTTTTATTTATCGCAGGTACTTACTGTATCTGGAGTATTTGTAGGTGTCTGGCTTTTATATACTGGTTGCAGAAAAGACTCCATAAATTCAAAAGCAAACCATTTTGGTTGATAAACATCAACTCCTGATTTTATTAACGCTTTTTTTTTGCGCACATGGCCCTTAAATATAGTGTTACATTCGGGTACAAAAAACCGCATCCAGACCGAACGCACTCGAGACAAGACGAGGCTGCACGAGCGCGTAGAGTGAACTCTCGCGGTATCCACGTGAATTAAATGTGTATCGGTATTTACGAGTAGTCCTACGCGATTATTTTTCCCCAAAATAATCGATTATTGTAATAGTTATCGATTATAATCGATTAATCTTATAAAAGAAATTGGACGATTAATTAATAAACCGAACAATCGCATTAAAATTGATAATGAATAACAACGATAACCGTTTGATCATCGTGTCACAGAATAAGCGTATAATGATCAACATTCAATCGAATAATTATTTTATTTGATCTCGAGCGATAAAAACAAAACGCACGCCCGAGACAATTATTTGATTATTAACCAATTATAATTATTTACCGACTTGGGTGCAATTAACTAGTGATGTACTGATGTGAATTAATAATCGAACGATTTTGATAGTCAGCAAATTATAGCTACACTTACTTAGTCACTTATTAGTCAACCCAACTCGAACAAATTGCGCGATAAAAATGTATCAAAACCTATAGAACCACATGGGTAATTGTCATTTAATCCCGTGTACGGGTCTTAACGCCGGTTACCGGTTTTCGGTAAAAACTGCGGTTGCCCGCGAACCGAAATAATATTGCGTTTAATTTACATTGGCTACACGAATGATTGTACAGCTCGTAGCTACTAACGGTTTGATAATTATTAAAACTTCCCAAAACTGTTCTTAAATCGCGCCGTTATATGTTCGTCGGTTTCTCCCTAGTCCGAATTCTTGTGACGGCAATTCAAATAATTGGGCACTCTGCGTCTCTATTTTAGTATTTTCTACCCGCAACAGAAAATGCCGTCGGTCGGCAATGACGCGGTACTCGACAGTCCCGGTCTCCCCGATCGTATATTGTACCGGGAAATCTGAAAATAGCTTGATTCCTACAGCAACACGATTGGTTATCAGAACTGATCGTATATTGCCATGATCGCGGAGATGACATTACAAGAATTCGGAATAGTAAACATAATTTTTAAACGCGAAAACACAGTAACGAATTGTTATCGCGTCAATTAATCGCGTGGACATTTTGTGTTTCATTACGTCGGAACGGTATTAAGAACCTAGTCTTTCTCAAGTCTTAAACAACGTACGGCGTTTTACGGTGTAGTGCGTCAGTGCGTGTGACGACGAATCGTGTCTGGCACTTTTACAGTAAAGTGCGTGTGATCGTGATTTTTCATAAAGCAATCGTACATGTCAATAGTCGTGAAGAATCCTGTAGGATCTGTGTTTTTTAAACATGGCTGCAGGAAGAAATACACCGACTTGCACAATAAATGGATGACCTAATCCAGAACTTTTAGGAAAACCTAGTAACATAGTTAAAACTTAGAGAGGCGTATATAGATGCTCGTCTTAAAAACGAGTATAGGATTGTTGATGGAAACAAAACAAATAAAAAACGATGCTTGTAAATCATCAACTTCAAATATAGAAAATTCCTTATCAGCTTTAGTTGAGGTCAGCGGTGGATAGGCCCATAGGGAAAAAGGTATTTTCCCTGTCTATGTTTGCGTCGGAGGCCCCCTCGGGTCTACACGTTTTGTTTCGTATAATATTCACCAAACAGGAATATTTACAACTATAAATTATTGTTATTTAAGACCGTTATTTTTAATAATATGATAACACGTCAATAATTTTCTCGCGGATTTTGAACGTGAAACACTATCTATATAAATATTAATAACAGTATTTTAAATCGTTGTTGTTAAATGGAATACCGGAATATCCGACCGACCGCCGGCCGCGAACACCGCAAGTTCCATCCCGATCCGGGCGATACGAAGTACAAATTTTGTCGGAAATGATTGGGTATTTAATATATATTTTTAATACATGTATTATTATTGTATTTTTGTAATCCATGATCGTTCGTATCATTCGTATCCCATAGTCGACAGTTTTCATCGTGCGCGTGCAATGTGGAATCAGCGTATCTTGTAATTAAAACTCGGTTTTACGATTTTCACGTTTGGGAATATTATTCAGTAAAATAAGAATATAAGATCGTGCATTTTTTTTGTATTGCAAAATTGTATTTTTATAATGTATTAATGGATCCATATTGATTAAGTTACTTAAAGTACATCATGCGCTGTAATAATATTAAAATTATTTTAAAAACTAAACATTTAACATTTTTAAAAGTGTTCAATATCTACTACAAACAAACAATTATATTTTGGTAACTATAATGATTGCTATAATGCTATTAATTGTATAGATACACCTGAAGTTTCCAATTTTAATTCAGAACACTCTGTAGAACAAAGTAATGTTGAAGTCCCAATTGTAGAATTAGGTAATTATTAATTTTGATTGTTTTAAAAAAAATGTATTCAATATGTAAATGTTTATTTAGTATTATTTTTTTGTAATGTTAACAATTGTAATTGATTTTACAGATGAACCTGAAGTTTCCAATACTGAACACTATATGGAACAAAGTATTGTTGATATTTCATTCAAAAAACCAGATTCAAATAATATTGTTATGTTATTTCATTCGCATCAACCAACAAACAAAATTCCATTTACAGCAGACAAAGCATATAAACGTTAATATTTTATATTAATAATATTATTATTTATTATAATATAATATGTGGTAAAATGCATTGATATGCTTTGCAATAATTAATGCTTGCGTGGAAATGATAACAGCCAATGACCGACGAATATTATAGGAAATATAAATTAATAAACATCTCCGGTAACAATACATAACATAACATAATAATGATTTATAATTTTATAAATTATAAATAAAATCAATACTTTAGTTTTAAAATTTAAATCTATATTTTAGAATTGACTAAAATCAGCTGTGAAAATTTATTTTGTTACAATTTTAATTTTTAATTTTTTAATAAGTGACAGTGAAAAAAAGTGTCTCAGGACTCAAATTTATTTTGTGCGATTTGCGTGGTTCATTATCGCTTGATATATTGGAAAATATAATGATCATAAAATGAAATAACTTTTATAATGGCTAAAGAAAACAGTTATTATTAAATGTTATTTAACTAATTTATTTATTTATTATTATTTTTTTTTATTAAAATTTAAAACAACCAGTGTCCTTCAGTAGTTTGTTGTAGATATTTACTGTTTTGAGTTTTTATAACTTTATTAATAACAATATATTATGTTATTATATTTTATAAGTAGGTATGTATTTTTATTATGAAATTAGAATTTAATTATTTAATTTTTTATGTATACTTTTTATTTTTCATCGATGTTTTGAATATCGACGTATTTTTACGTGGTAGTAACTAGTAAGTGGTAAGTAATAAGTAACTAGTAAGTTGAGAACGCTGATTAGAGTTATTATTATTAAGTTATTATAGTTAGATTATTTTCCAGCCTTCCAGGTAGGTCATGGTCAATGTTGTTAAATAATTATGGTTTATACTGTACACCATGATTACAAAGGTCAATCAGAAGGCACATGACTCAACTCTCAACAGACGACGTAGACAACTGCAAACCGATAAATTCGGTAAAAGTTTTAAGTCCTGCAGTCATATTTACCATTTTTGTCGAAAAACTACTGCCAGAAACAAAAATAATATTCTACAAACAAATGTTAAATTATAACAGACCATAATCGGTTACTCGATTATTCGGCAATATTCGATTATTCGGTTATATTCGATTATTCGGTTATATTCGATTAATCGATTATAATCGCGCCACATTCGGAATAAATAAAAATCTGTGGAGAATTCAAAAACTTTTGACAATTTAACATTTGTTTTAGATTCTGAGCGGAGTAAGGAATGTTTTGGTTTTACAATGATGTTTATTTTTTTATGTGAACACTTTTTCAACCAGAAAGCTTGATCCGATTATCAAGTATAGAAACTTTTCTGAAAGAAAATGTTCTTTGGCTGGTACTTTAAAGATGCTATTTTTTTGAAATTCTCATTAATATTCGAGATAATGAGGAATACTTGGTTGTTTAGGTTAAAAAAGATTAAATGGTTTAAAAATAAGGTCGTCATTGATTGGCCACCGTTTTTATTTATTTTTCGTTATTATTAAGTTTTTATTATTTTTATCTTTTTTAAACAATCATTGCTGTAATCATTTTATCATAATATGATATAATATATATTGTTTACAAAGCAACACTATCAATTGAACTCCGCTCAGAATCGTTTTTTCGCTGGCGACTGTTCGGATCGTCAGATATAATTTAAATATTACTCTGCCATATTATCATAATAACCTGTCTTTCGACTTTCTTCGTCAAAAAAAAAAAAAACACGCCATCGATATAATGAAATGTAGTATCGGGCTTTCGTTTTTTTTTTGTGTTATTTTTTTTAACGGTATCGTTTTTTAATCGGGACGTTTTATAGAATATTAATCATTCGGTCTATTGGCGAGAGACGAACTTTCCGTGTTCAAAACAACAAAAAAGTCGAATTACACACCATACGCATCTCGTTACACTACACGCTCGTTACTATATCATAATACCGTCGACGAAATATTATTATTGCGCACGCGCGTTACTTTTGTTTTTTTTTCTTTTTATAATGACCTTTATAAATATAAAATACTCGTACATTAATTCAGCTCCGTAGCTCGCCGGTTTGTCAACCGACTCGTTTCACAAACTAGTAACTACCACACGCGCGCACTAAAACTATAATAATAATATATACTACGTCACGTAATCGGAATTACGGTTTTTTTTTTTTTTTTTCAATAATAATTTTTCCTGCGCAATAATATCTCGCGTTGAATTTTTACCCGTTCACCGCGAGTTTCAGATCTTATCACGACATTACGTATGCCGGCAAGAATGTGTTGAAGATGAAGAGCCGGACATACTTATCGATTCGATTTGTATACAGGTACCTACGGAAAGCAACGATAAAGAATAAAAAAAAAAAAAACGAAAACGATTCTGAGCGGATTGTTATTGTAA